AGCATAAACGACAAGAAGACAATATGAATGGCCATCAGTCAAAAGGATGAATCCGAAATGCGATTTGCAGGTCGGGGACACTAGAATCAAGCAGGTGCGGAAGTTTAAATATCTGGGAAGCGTTTTAACAGAGGACGGTAAGTGTAACACTGAGACCCGTAGACGTATTGGGATGGCCAACGACGCATTCCAAAGGCTGGGTAGAGTGTTGGGAGACAGGATGATTTCCTTGGTAACAAAGAACTGAGCTGTTATGTTTACTGTAGCGAATGATGTCGGTCTCTTCAAAAATGAACAAGAGACACGAAGCGATGGAGATGTGGTTCTACAGAAGGATGCTGAGCATAGAAAGACCTTCGTTTACATCAAAGTGAAATTTACTGAACAATTTCGCTATATTATAATGTAATATGTCACATGGTGCAATAGTTTTAGTCTGATTTTTAATAAATAATGCAAATTTAAAATATTTAGTCTTATAATTTGTACCCAGCAGTATTATTAAACCGACAGAATTATGTTATTACATGCACTTTAATCCATTTTTTTTTTATTAATCATTATCTAACAAATGATATAGCAAATGAATTAACAAATCTTTTTCATTGAGTAGCCTTTTTTTAGCTGAAGAAGGACTCGAAGCGGCGGAGATGTGTTTTTACAGATGGATGCTAAAGATATCATAGACAGAGAGTGTGACCTTCATTTACATTAAAGAAAATTATACTGAAGAATTTCGCTATATTATAATGTAATATATCACAGTTCAATAGTTTTAGTTTGATTTTTAATAAATAATGCAAATTTAAAATATTTTGTCTTATAATTTGTACCCAGCTGTATTATGGCATTAGATACAAATTAATCCGTTTTTTGTTTTTATTAATTTTTATTAATTTTTATTAATCTAACAAATGTTATAACAAATGATCTAACAATTATTTTTTTAATGAGTAGCCATTTTTGTAATCTTTTACAAAGGTTATAGACAGTTATACTTATTGAATACACTAAAACAATTAAGTTTAAGCGGCTTTTTATTTTTCTTTTACATTTAACAACTTAAGTCTTTGACAATTTCAACCATGGAAAGATTAACGATCAAACAGCCTGTTAAAGTTATCGAAGCCTATTAAGAAAATGGACGTTCGAATTTATAATTTTACGGCCAAATGTTTCCGCTAGCAAAAAATGCACATCAGACAGTGACCTTTGTGGATGCAGGCGGTTTTCATCAATCTTCCTTGGATTTTCATCAGCCCAAATACAATTCTGCTTAAAACAAATCCAAGATAAAAATGGGCTTCATCACTAAAGAGGATTTTCTGCGAAAAATATTCACCGTCTTATCTTTGTTCGTGTACCCATTTGACGAGTATACGGCGCTACAAATCGTCAGCAGGTTTCAGTTCTTGTGTCAATTGAATTTTGTAAGCGTGTAGAGAGAAATCTTTTGTAAAAATTCGATGTAACGTTGTTCTGGAGAAGTTCAATTCCTATGCACGATGATGAAAAATGGTGTTTGGACTCTCGGCTACATTCTCATGCACTGCAGCAATCTTGTCAGTTGAACGACGTAAACGAGCACGCAGTGGTGTTTTCACATCTGCCACTGACTCAGTTTGTTTGAATTTACGAACATTTTTTCTCCAATTGCACTCTCGGTTGGTCGATTAACCATAAAAGTCGCGAAGTTCGTGAAATGCATTTCTGTTTGAACGTCCATTTTCGTAATAGGCTTCATTTACTTTAACACGTTGTTTAATGTTAATCTTTCCGTGGTTGAAATTGCTAAAGGCTTTAGTTGTTAAACATCCCGCTCTCACCCCTTCACTGTCGAAACTCCTAAATGTAGCCGTCTCTTCTACTCTAATAGCTTCATGTCTCGCACCTCTCGCCTGTGGAACTCCCTTCCCTTTTCCTGTTTCCCTGTGAGCTATAATCTCCAGTTATTAAAGTGTAATGTCAATCGACATCTCCAGTTGCCTTGATCTATCCACTACCCTCATCCTTTCTTCTGTCATTCCTATCTGATCTTGCTCTAAATTTTTCTGTAACCCCTTGCGTCCTAGTGGCTTCCCGCCTTGCTTGGGGTGAAATGCTTAAAAAAAAAAAAAAAAAAAAAAAACATCTAAAAGAAAATAAAAAAATAAATCATTAAACACTTAAACTTAATTCACATTTAAAATTCGTCCAAATTATGGAACGCACTATATAAGGTCTTTCTATATAAGCACTTTCTATATAAGCGAATTTACGTTGCATTTTAAGGCACACAATAGTGTACATATATTTTTCATATATATATAAATCCAAACCAAACTTACTCTTTCGCATTTTTCAAATATAATCCCAAAATAGGATCGAAGGAAACGCTACAAAAAACTGCTGGGTACTTATAGAAACTTTTAAACTGTTTTTTTATTTTTTTAAATTTACATAGTGGCAGTTCAATTAATTTGGGTATCAGGTTTCTATTGTTATTTAGTAAGAAGATGAGAAAAATGATAAACTATTAAAGACTTAAATATCTGTGAAACTATACCATTCGTATTTAATTGCAATGAAATAGCGGAAGATGAGGAGAAACAATAAAATGAAACACTTTACATATTTCAAACAGCTTTTTAAATGCTTTTATGTCAATATTTGTCATCTAATCAATCAGGCCAAGTTTAATGTCCACCGTCCTAAAAAAATAAATAAATTAACAGTTATAGAAATACGTGCTTCGCCGAAAGTTACTCAATTCATTATTTACTTAAAAAGAACAAACAATTTTTCTAACTTATCATATACATTTACAGCAGGTGTCTTTCGCGTATTAACTAATTTGAAAACTCAACGTGTTCAGTCACTTTTTCTTACGCAAATGATGGTGTAAAACTGTTTAAATTTATGAGCATCTCTTGGAACAGCTGACGTATGAATGACGAGACATAACAAAAGCTGACAGTACGTGCTAAGAGAAAAATATATTCCCGGCATTAAAATACTGTCATGTGACGGATGGGTAAATCTAGTGTATGTATATTATAATAAATATAGAAAGAAAAAAAGAATAAATAAATACGAGCCAAATTCGATTTACTTTCCCTGGAGACTGACCTGGTAAAAAGAGTAAAATTTACTTCGGCTGATTTCCAATAAATAAAAATGTCATAAAAGTAACAAATATTGATTTTTTTTTCTTGACTCAGCCATCATAAAACGAAGAACACTATTGCTTTAAATGGTGTTGTTTAAAAACGTAGCCAGGAATAGAGGGATGCTTCCCGCTTAATTTAGCGATCGAATTAAAAGAGCAGTGTTCACGTTCAGATATCAGCCAAGATTTGGAAATCGTTTCTGTTTGGTTTGGTTAGTTTGCTTTATGGTATATCAACCTACAAGTGTCATGCCAACACACACACACACATATATATATATATATATAAATTATAAATTAATTGATTTAAAATGTTTTTCCGCTACACAGTTCTAACCATGTTTCAAAAATAGAAGCTAAAAGGCCTAATTTAATTTTGCGATTAAATTAAAAACATTAGTTCCATTTCCTCCTCAAGCGAATTTGAGTAACTTTTAAAAATTACTGGGTTTTAAAGACACAGCTAAAATCACGTTTCCATGGTTACAGAATATTCTACTTGAATTGGACAAGGGATGTCGAGGTATTCCTTATGCCAGTATCATTGTATCAATTATTAGCTACAATTTGGTAAGGGGTAGCGATGTATTTTTCCAGGAAAACTGACATCCGTTCAATGCATGTCGTCTGGATTTTTTTAAAAAATTATTGTTAACGGTAAAAAAAATTCTTACGGCATTTTTTTCTATTTATAAATTTAAAGATTTTCGGGGTGTTTTCAGATCTTTCTTTATATATATATATATATATATATATATATATATATATATATATATATATATATATATTATTCGCCTGAAGATCCCGGAGAGTAGAGAGCGTGTTATCTAGAATAATCAGCAAGCTGAACAACACCAGCATACTCAAATCTTCGGTCACGATGACTTGAATAAAAATATATTCTTTGTAACAAAATCACTTTCTAAATCAAGTTCCATTAACACTTTTGCAAAGAGGGCTTCTGTCGAGAGACAATAACACTGGTTTGGTCTGTTTTGCTTTGATTTACAGTATATCAACCTCAATGAATTATTTAAATTAATACTTACAAAATTTTTATTGCTGGTAATATTTTTCCCAAAATATATAGCTGGTCATAGTTTTAACTTGAAAAATGTACTGCTGCTAATATTTGTACACTTCCATAGTGTTTTGACCCCAGTTTTGGGGGGTAATTATTTGTTCATACCACACCGGTTTAGGGTGGATCTGGGAACGCCAGCAATTAAGAGGTAGTTCCGCGCTCCTAAAAACCACATAAAGAGAAGCCTTGCTGTCGGGTGTGGTTTGTCGTCTTACCCAGGAGTCGGATGTAGTTTATCGTCTTACCCAGTGTTATGGTGTAGAAACATAGAAAGATAAATCGGACTCGGATATAAGGTTAAATAGTTTATTCTCGGAAACGTAGTACAAAGGTAAATGTGGACTGGAGAGTACTTTCTCTCACTGGTGTCCTCACTCACTCACGTCTTCACTCACTCACTCAGTCACTCACTCAGTCACTCACTCAGTCACTCACTCACTCACTCCACTCAATCGGTGTCTACTACTCGGTGACTCTCTTTACACAGAGTTGGTGGCCATATTATATAGGTGTGGAAGAGTCCATTTGTAGGTAGGTCCCCACAATACCCAGGAAGGTCGATTTTTTTTTATTTTCAAGAATGTTAGCATTACTTCATTTGGAATGCTGGCGCAAAACAGTCTTCTGTCAACTAAGCGATGAATGACAAGTTGTAAGAAGTTCTTAAAAACAAACGCATTTACGTTAAATATCAAAGACTACAAAAATTAACTCTCGATCAGCGAAAAGAGAACATTTATGAAGTCACAATTTTCCCCATGAAGGACTTCCGGCCATATCACGTTGAAACACCGGTTCCCATTAGGTCATCGAAGTTATGTATCATCGAGCCTGGTCGGTAAGTAGATGCGTGAGCGCTTGGGAACACCAAGTGCTGTAAAATTGGATGTGAGCGTAGTATAAATGGCTTACGGCCACATACCGTTGAAACAGCAATTCCCATACGAGCACCGAAGTTAAGTAACGTCGAGCCTGGTCAGTACCTAGATGGGTGACCACTTTGAAATACAAGGTGGTGTAAGTTTAGACGTGCGGATAATATAATGGATAAAGGCTCTTAATTCTTAATTGGAGCGCCGAAGTCCAATTCCAGCAAGGTTCGATATATTCACATACACGAAAATACCATTGGGAATAGTATCAATCCACCTCTTCTCTCGCAGAAATCAATTACATACTAAGACTTGTATCAATAAATATTTACTATCCCCCATTTTAAATAATCTGCAAAGGGTTGATAAACCGTAAAAAACAAATCAATCAATCAATCTACTGATTAAGTAGAAGAAATTAGTAAGACTTGTAAACCATTATTATAGCCAAAATATATTCTTAAATTCTAAAAAATATTTTCTGGCTTTAAATAACCTGCAAAGGGTTGATAAGCCGTAAAAAACGAATCAATCAATCAATCTACTGATTAAGCAGAAGAAATTAAAAGAAGAAATTAGTAAGACTTGTAAACCATTATTATCACCAAAATATATTCTTACAATCTAAAAATATTTTCTGTCTTTAAATAACAGGCAAAGGGTTGATAAACCGTAAAAAAACAAATCAATCAATCTACTGATTAAGAAGAATAAATTAAAAGAAGAAATTAGTAAAACTTGTAAACCATTATTATCGCCAACATATATTCTTTCAATTTAAAATATATTTTCTGGTTTTAAATAACTTGCAAAAAGGGTTGATAAGCCGTAAAAAATAAGTTTCCTCATCAATTGAAAGAATTTATTTCCAAAGGTCTCACGATATTCTTTCCTTAATAATATTAAAAACCCCTGTTGTATGTATCGTTGGAATTGTTAAGCCTAGCTTAGAAATGTTTTAAGAAATCAGCAAAAATACATAAATATGTGAGAAACATGAACTCAACTGTGAAATTTTGTGTCAGGCTTGAGCCATATGCAAAGTGACTGTGCCTGGCTACCGGACAGCTATGGTATGACATCAAATATTAATAATTCCTGTGAGATTTGTTAAAAGAGACTAACATTTTCGAACCATCTTTCAATGTTTCTCGACCTTTTTAAGCAACTGTACACATAGGCGTAAATGAAAACATCACGGCACACTTAACAAGATTTTTAAGGAGTAGACATTTAAATGTTATGATTAGAAAGAATCGATTTAAAAATACACAAACAAGATATGAAATATGTTCCAATGCATTTAGTCAACTATTTATGCGGTTTATTTAGCAAATACTGTGCTATTACTAATTCACACACACACACACACACACACACACACACACACACACACACACACACACACACATATATATATATATATATATATATATATATATATATGTATATCAGGTCATCCCATAAGTTCTGTCCGAATTTTGAATAAAGAAAACAAGTGACTAAATGTTACATTTAATTACAGATTCAATCAACAATGTATTTTCCCTGATTATCTATGACCTCCTTCCATCTATTAACAAGCTTACTAATTCCATTACTGTAAAATTGTTTTGGCTTTGATTCGAAGAACTCACAAATGTCAGTTTTAACCTCTTCCTGTGTCAGAAAAGCTGTTTCTTACAAACGATTCTGTAAGCTACGAAACAAATTGTAGTCTGAAGGAGAAAGATCGGGAGAATAAGGTGGGTGAGGAATTTTCTTCCAATTAAGTTTTTCGATCTTTTGTGACGTGATTCTTGCTGTGTCGGGTCGCGCATTGTCCTGATGAAATATCACCCCTTTTCGATTCACTAGAACAGATCTTTTTCCTCAAAGCTTGGTTCAAACGGTCTAATTGCTGATAGTATATTTGAGTATTAATTGTTGCATTAGGTGGTAAGAATTCAAAGTGGATTATTCCTTGGCGATCCCACCAGATGGAAAGAAGAAACTTTTGCCCATGAAGTTCCCTTCTCGGCTGTCGCTGGGGTCCTTGCCCTTTACCCTTTGCCAAGCCACTGTCTACAATGCTTAACATTTCGATAAAAGATCCATTTTTCGTCGCCAGTGACAAGTCTATCCAAAAAAGGTGAAACAAGTTGACGAGAATGGAGAGAAGAGCAGATGTCAACTCGGGATTTGAGGTTGTTTTCAGCCAATTCATGAGGCACCCATTTTCCAAGTTTAGGAACTTTTCCAAGTTGTTGAAGATGACGATAAACAGTTGTATGGTTTGAATTGAGAGCCACTGCCAATTCCTCAACTGATAAAACAGGATTTTCTTCAAGGGCTGATTCAAGAAGCTTTTCATCAAACTCAACTGGATGTCCGGCTTGATCTTCATCTTCAAGTGTGAAATCTCCACCTCTGAATTTTGCAAACCATCTTCTGCAAGTTCTTTCATTCACATATTCCTCTCCATAAACTGAGTGAATGTTTCTAGCCGCTTCGGCTGCTGAGTTTCCTTTCTTGAACTCATAAAGCATTATGTGCCTCAAATGATTCTTGGGTACTTCCATGTTAGCATGGTTTTAATCAAACAAAATTTAATTTTATTGTTCTTTGAAATAAAATTTGATCAGTTTAAATGCATCTAAACATAAAAATAATGTTCAGCTCCATTAGATATTATAAAATACTCTTTAAATTTCGTTCATTTTAACAAAAAAGTTAAAATTCGGACAGAACTTATGGGATGACCTGATGTGTATGTATGTATATATATATATATATATGTGTGTGTGTGTGTGTGGTTGTATATATATATATATATATATATATGCATGTATATATGTATGTGTGTGTATGTATGTATGTATGTATGTGTATGTGTATATGTATGGATATGTATATGTATATGTATGATAAAATCACGGCGGTATAATGGTTGGCCAGCATGGTTCGCTAGATTAGTTGCGACTGAGTAATGAGTTCGTTCCTCACTGGGTGCCCCCTAATTTCGGCTTTGTGCCACGATATATTTGTATATATATATGTATGTGTGTGTGTATGTGTGTATGTATGTGTGTATATATATATATATATGTGTGTGTGTATATATATATATCTGTATGTCCTATTTTATTGTGTATGTGTATTTATATTTAAGTATATTTCTGTTTGTATGAATGTGTTTATATATTTGTATGTTAGACTATATGTATATTGCTGTGTGTTGGTATTTGAAGGTATATTTATGTATCTATATGTTAGTTCGTTTATATATGTATTTGGTTGAGTGTTGTTGTATTTTTATGTATGCATGTATATATGGGTAGTTGTTATTGTAGATAGATATATTTATATATATGTTTATTTGTAGATATGTATGTATGTGTGTATATATATTTATGTATGTTTGTGTATGTATATATATGTGTGTGTGTTGGCACCTATTATGTATGAGTTTGTTTGTATGTATGTGTGGGTATGGAAACTTTGGTATATCATGACTGGTTTTTTATATATGTAAGTATGTGTGCATAAAAGTCTGTGTGTATATATGTGTGTGTATTTAGGTTTATATGTATATGTGCGTGCATGTGTACTTGTTATCATAGATATGTATATGTGCGTATATGTTTATGTTTATATATTTATTTGTATGTATTTCTGTATGTATATGTATGTATGAGTGTATATTTATGTGTGTTAATTTGTTTTTGCTGCCGTGTATATATATATATATGTGTATATTTGTGGGTTTCTTTATCCTGTTTTTCTTTGCCTAATATATAATGAAACTATTATCAACTTATATGATTAATATATATTTTTATTGATATTTATGGTTTTAGAATTTTCGTTTAAATATATTAAATAATATTATTTTTAACCATTTTTATCTTTCTTTGCTCCCTTAAGTTATAATTCAATAAGTGGTTAGCATTTATTTAAGTCTGACTTATTTATTGGTTGTGATTTCTCATTGTCTATGTCATTGTCTGTGGATGTATGTATGTGTATCTATCGGTGTCTATGTGTATGTAGAGTGTATTCACATTTAACTGTGTGTGTGTATAAGTGTTAGTTTCCACGTCTCCTTTTTTCATAAAGGGTTGTAGAGATGTTCATGTATTCCCCCCACCTTCCCTTTTTTTATTTTTTTTTAGTGTGTGTGTATGTGTGTGTGTGTGTGTGTGTGTGTGTATGTGTGGGTGTGTATATGTAATTATGTCTGGGTGCTTATGTATTATAATCTGATTGTGTTTTTGTTGTTTTACGCGTGAAGTGTAAGACCACATTCACAAACTTTAAAATAAAAACGGAAAAGAAAAGGAAAAGAAAAAAATATATATACATGTATTGTCAAATGACCGGATGTATTGTAGCGTCTTGTCTAACGTAATTTCAATGAAGAAATGAATTGAATAAACATATATATTTTTTCTTTTCTCAATAATTTTGTAAACTTAATAGTGATTAAATTTAGATTTTAAAATTGCCAGTTTTTAATTTTAATATTAAATTTTATCATATAATTTTATAATTATTAGTTAGTATAAATTATTTTTAATATTACACGTATTTAAAGATCTGAAAAGCCATTATAGCATGATTTCGTTGTCAAGCTTTTGAATCTTTCTATACTTCGTTTTTGATTGGTTATTCTAGCTTTTGTAACAATGTTTTTCCCCCTAGTGTAGGATCGTTAATTAATCTGAAACTTTTAAAACCATTTATTTTCTTTTCAACATCATCACTTGATAAGACACAGAGTGTGTTGAAACAAAATGGCTATTTTTGTAATGATTTTATAACATACTTATGTTATAAATTTTTTATAAAAAATAATTATATCTGCTCTACTTTGTATTGAGCACTCTTTTAAGAATAGTAATTGTTGGTTATTGGAATTCATTCCGTATATACCAATTATATACTTTATATATATATATATATATATATATATATATATATATATATATGTATGCTGTGACATTATTTCGCGGTACACTTAAAGGATCGCGCAGGACACTAGTATGCCGCGACCGACACAGCAGTTAAAATAACACCTTTATATTGTTGTGATATAAATTTTGGTCATCCATAGTAGCTGTCATCATCTCTAACTTCACAATAACATCGATAACGTGAATAAAGTCAC